GCTGCGGCGGACAAATACGCGTTAGAAAGGTTGAAAGTCATGTGCGAGGAAGCATTATGCACGAGTTTAGCAATCGAAAACGCAGCCGACATCCTGATTCTCGCTGATCTTCATAGCGCCGATCAACTCAAGGCACAGGCCATAGATTTTATCAATACGTAAGTACTTGTTCAGATAAATAACATATGTTCAATGTATTCGCAAAACAGTTTTCTTTTCTTTTTTGTTGTGAAACAACTGTACAGCTTAAGAACTGATAAGAAAAAAAAAATATTTCAATCATTTTGTTCGATCTGTGTTACAGACACGCGACGGACGTGATGGACACAGCAGGTTTTAAATCGATGGTGAACTCTCATCCGCATCTCATAGCGGAAGCGTTTCGAGCGTTAGCCACCCAACAAATTCCACCGATCGGACCGCCCAGGAAGCGAGTGAAACAGAGCTGAAAACAGTCACCGTTAACTCCGGGCACGACCTCTACATCGCCCCCGCCTATTCTGCATCCTTCATGACTTTTTTGTGTACAGTGATACAAGTAGTGCTAAATAAATGTTTCCTAGTGCGCCATCATCTGGTCCACTTGAAAAGAAACTGCGACGAGAACTGTTCTTCATGCGTTTTGACCGATAAACGTATCTCTCAAACAAGAAATACAGTGTTGCAGCGTTGCAGCGGTTCAAATGGCCAGCTCCAGGCGAGAAACGCAGTTAACCTATGGCTATAGACTTTGTTGTAATTCGGTGAGATCGTCGACGTTAGAAGAAGCCTATCACATAAAATGGAGAGAGAAGTTCGAGCACTTGTACACACGTATATGGAAGATAATCTGGAAACAAGTAAATCATGATGCGTTTATCCCCAACTGGTTGGGAATGGTTTGGAGAATTTTTGGTACTTTGCATTGTGCGTCTTGTATTAACGTTACGTTCTCGTGCGTGAGAGAAACATGTGTTTTTATCCACCGACACGCAACACAATCATGTCAGCGATTTATCAATGCGCATCATTAGGGTCTCGCAATGGATTTGCTTTCGTTCATAAAACGAAAATAGCTAGAAGCGCGCATACCATCTATGTATTATGAAAAAGACATCAGAAGCAGCCAGAGGACCAAGGCGAGATTGAAACTCGCTGAAACATTACTACACACATATACACTCACACGCGAAGAGGGAGGTATACACATGATGCACGAAGAAAGTTGTGATAGACGTCGATCAGACGCTTATAAGAAAAAGATTTTGTTCCTTTGTCGAAAAAATATGAATCAAACGAAATGCCCCTCGCTTGTTCACCGTGTACGCGAGCGACAAGAATAAAATTAGATATGTTTATTACTGATATAGCGATTTTTAGTTTTAAATGGAAAAAAAGAAGGCAAAATGGAAACGTCGAATTCTTCCAAGAACGGAGAAAAAATGATTCTAGTTAGTGTTTTTTATGATCTCTTTCTCTCAGCATATACGACTACTACTATGATTACTATTAATGCTACGCATTCTGTGCCCCGTATTTTTGTATATTTTTTGTCTGCAGATACCGCCCCTTGTCCCATCCTCTCTGCGGCCTTTTTCTCTATGTCCCTGAACCCTCACCCCTTTATTGCTAGGCACAGTTTGTTTTGTTTTCTCGAGTATTGCATAGTAGACGAAGTGATAGATTCGAATTATTATTATTATTATTATTATTATTATTATTATTATTATTATTATTATTATATTATTATTATTATTATTATTATTATTATTATTATATTGTATTAAATTTAGGGTTGTCCATAATTTATCAAATTTTATGTTGATTACTATTGAAATGTCTATCGTATTCGTATGCAGGATGTTCTATATTAATTAGAAGTGATACAAGAATCGCATTAAATGAAAAGATGAAGTCGATGAACGCGTTATCAAAAAAGAAGGAAATGACGAAAAAGGAACAGGAAACAAAGAAAAAGGAAAAAAAAAGTTAAAATAAATTGTATAAAATAACAAGGTTAGTCAATTACATAGTACGAGAATATTAATCGTTTTTTGTGTAATTATCAAAATCGCAAAATTATGTGGTCAATGATCTGAATTATGGGCAACCGACAGAATACGTAAAACAATAATCATCATTTAGTACCGTACTGGCTTCCTGATCCTCCGACCTAGCTTTACCGAACGTTTTAAATACAAGATATAAATACCTACCATTACAAAGAAGTAATGATATCGAAGATTTAATGCCATACATGTTCTGTGATAAGACCACTGTAATTAACCGCAATTGTATCACAACCTTTCTAGAACTTTCTGACGATCCTGGCAGCCAGTGAATTTATCTTTTAAGGAAACGGTCGCTATATCCGGACAGTCCCAAATCTAGCGTCCCTTTCGATTTTAAGGTTTTTACTGTACATATCTACTGTATTTTATAAGAACTGAACCGAAACGGAACCATACTTTTAATGAAGGGTACAATAATCAACTATAATTTATTCTATTTTACAGACTGTGCTAAACTCATGTTCCTTGAAACACACTAGCAATGCTTTAAGTAAATGTAATGTAATCGCGACAAATTAATACGATTAGATTATATATGTGTATCTCGTTTTTGATCTCGACACGTACATACACTTACCCGTACCGCCTGTCGTGACGCCGTAATGTATCTCTGTCGAGATTAAAAAAATAATGAAAAAAAGAAGCAACTCCTATGGAAAAATAGTTAGGGAAGATTTTTCCACCGTTTTTTACATGATGTTTATTTCAATTATAGTAGGTTATTAAGGCTTACGAAGAAATAAGTCGATGAAACTACTAAACGGAGGAATGAAAATAAGTGTAAAGGAAACAATGAAATATGTAAGCGCTTTAAGGAACAGATTTTGGCCATGTGTGCTCGCTCAGATTTTAAAGATGTCAAACAAAAAAAGAGAAAAGAAAAAATTGTCTACGTCCATTCTAATACCCATGTTCTATCTTTGGGACTGTGCGGCGAACAAAAAAATATCTCATGAAACTCGTAATGTTGAATGTCTTTTTCCTAAAAACGCGAAAAACTAAATATTAATACCGTACGACAGTTCGAGAAACATTAGATGCAATTCTTTTTGAACCAATCTGCATGAGCGTATGACTGGATAATTTGATAAACTAAGTACAAGTAAGACAAGTGTTACCTCATCATGAAAATCAGCATGTTCGTGTCGCACTAGCTACTACTGCGCTGCTGTCTGATACACTTCCATTGTATATTGCATTTAAACTCGAAGAAAAAAAAGAAGCTTTTTGTAACGAATAGTTCAGCAGTGGTAGCTTTTCGAAGTACATGACTGCTGTTCATCGAACCCAGCTCATATAAACGTTCATTTTTCCATTTACTTTAAGTCATTGCACCACATCAAATAAATGACATTTTCATTATATAATCATGAGAATTTTACGTGATTTTCATTATCCCTCGACATGTCGCTTATTTATTTAATACATTTCAGTGTTTGTTTCGAATATGTCAGCAGATGGAAAATATATATATAAAAAAATAATATTAAATGCAATGATATAGATTCGTAATAAAAGAATTTTTATTGCTCTCTCTCTCTCTCTCTCTCTCTCTCTCTCTCTCTCTCACTCACTCACATGAAATAAAAATCTTATTTAGATATCTTATTTATAATTAATTCAGCTTCTTCTTGATTAACTGAGACTAAATTAGATATGATACATGATTACAAATACGTGACTACAACATGTGTTAAATATAATTTGTGATCGGAACTATTTGATTACTCGAATGTGATACTCGTTTAGATTGTTGCGAACTTTCTTGATAAACTGGTGGTGCTTCGAACATAGATATCTAGAGAACACAAATAAACGTAAAATAATATGTTATTACGCGACAAAATTTTTATCTAATCTAGATTTTTATCTATCTTATATTTTACTATAATGAGTAACATACATTAGATATGTACAATTATTTTCTTCGCGTTCGATTGTTTTATTTCCTTTTTTGTGTATTATATTTTTTTGATTAATAGAATAGAAATGAACATACGCTGTTCAATGGCGATTCATAAGGAGGAGGTGCACTGCAAGCTGCATTATAAGACGGTGGTCTGTCCACTGATGGTTCATAAATTGAATTAGATTGTAATGATCTGCAATCTATATTATCACTGGAAGCAGCACTATATCTCTGATGAGTATCCCTGTAAAGTATAGAGTCTAATTAATGATAATAAAAGCGATATTAACGTCCAGCAATTTTGTTTATTCATCAAATAGATGAAAAAGATAGATAAAATTTAGGCTATTCTAAATTTTAGAACTATATTACATTTGTAGAACTAAATCATAGCTTCAAACATCTACTAGAATTGGATTACAAAATTATTTAGATTTTAAGGCATAATTCGTACCTGCTATAGGTTCTGCAATATATTAAAATTGCGAAAAAGAAACCAAATACTAATAATAGAAAGATGACCATTTTCGTCGCTGTAATCGTACTCCAGCCTTTATCCCTAAAAACAAGTTAATTGATATAATATAAAAAGTTCATATATGTGTGTAAGTAAAGGAAATGACCTTACCAATAAAGATTACAATTAAGGTATGTGCAACAGCATGGAAGCGCCCCCAGAAGAAGATACAAAAATAGAGTGAATTTGAAGCTATATATTATTTTTATATTTTATTAATTTAATTATAGGTAATTATAGGTATTTAACTGAATTATCACATACACATGGCGATAGTGTTTGTGATCCTGTTTGGAAACAGTACTTTTTTATCATATACGGAAAAATGAGAATGTTTTAACAAAATAAAATCTGATGTACACCTGTATCATCACTTAAACAATTCACTGTGCACATGTTATATATAAAAAAAACATAAAATAATCTGTGCCCCTGAAAATTAAATTTAGATACAATACAGGAATCTAATTTATTTCACATTGTGATTTTCAACTAAGAGATTTTATTGCACTGATTTCCCTAATTTTCCAAATTTTATTGAAATTTTATTGAAAATTTGTTAGAAAAGTATAGATACACTATAAATCTTTCAACCTTTTGCAAACAAGTAAATACGTTACTTTGAGCTAACAATCAACACCTTGCACATATAAAGGCTATAATCTTATCATATGGTAACACACTGATAACACATACAGTTCCAATTATTTTATCCTGAGATATAATATATTCCCCAATATATTCTAATTGATGTGTCCTTAAGAAATGGTATAAATAGGTACATGAATAAAAAGAATGTATGTATATATATATATATATATATGTGTGTGTATATATATATACAGGATAGCTTAAAGTATATTTCGCAATATACACGAATAAATTATTAATAACCCAAAGTGATAACAATCCCCAAGTCCATATAATTTACAATAAAGTTGATTCTTATGTCAGTGTTTGTTTGAAATTGATGCTGTACAGTCAATTTGTTAATGTAATTAATGCCTCCACAATGTTTCCACTATGTTCCCTGAGCGTTTGTTCTGCTACGTTTCGATTTATTTCCATTTCTTTCATCTGGAATGGAATGAATTTAATATCAATCTAATTAATATAATAAAATTTTCAACATATAATAAATAGATAAAAATTAATTAGAAAAGAATATTAATAACAATTATCAAATATCTTACAATAAGATCTACGTCTTCCTTCTTAATAGGAACTTTTAGCAATTCCTTTTCTCTCGCCTTCTTCTCCGCAGCTTCTTTATTCCGTCGATCTCCGATTATGCTTAACGCCTGTAGTATACAAATCGTACTGAATGATTGCAACTTATAGTTATGTGCGTGTTGTGTGTATACAACTTTTTATAGGTTAGACTTAATGATTACATATTTTCGAACAATTAACCTATAAAAATTAATGTATACTCAACAAAGGAAAACAGGAAAACTAATTTTTAACATGAAAGATATAAATTTTCATCATTGCCAAAGAAACTTAGTAAATGTTGTTGACAACCATAAACACGTGGAATATAAGATAATAGGAACACTTACACAAGAGAATCCATCAGACGAGGATATTTCCTTTTCCTCCGCATAATCCGTAACTTTTTCGAGATCTGCCGCTCCGCTATCATACTTTGCTGCCTTTTTCTGTGATTTCTCCTGTTGTACTTCATCAGAGTCACCATTTACATCGTTATCCGCCATTTTTCCCTTTTTTAAAACGTACTTCATGCTCTATAGACGATTATAAACTGCATGTGATAACTTCACAGTGTGCAATCTAATCTCTTCAAAAATTTTCAAAACAATCATTCGCATCTGATTTGTTATAAGGTTTGTTATGTTGTTATTATTTGTTATATCTGATTTGTTATATTTTATTGAAAAATATTGATTATAAATTGTTGAAAGAGTTAGTAATTCCATGTCGAGCTGTGATTTAATGCATTATATCATTGTGTTCTGTTAACATAGAAGATACAATTATGACTTACTAAAATGTTACATTTATGAAATATAAAATCATAAATTTGCTTATTTACATAAGTCATGCGTAATTTCATATACCGATGTTTAATTTATTGGTCTTTGTAACATTTTTAAAATATCTTTGGAAGAAATAATTTAATGATACATATTTAGAATGTTAATCCATAATCAAACATAAGAAAACAACAATAAGTACTCGTAAAATGTTTATTCAATATGTATTACATTTCCTCTTTAACTAACAAATATAAAAAATTACAAAATATTTAGACTTATTTTAATTTGTCATGACAGTAGACGTGAGAATCACGCGCATAGGCGCGTAGAAAAGGCGCAAGACTGTAAAAGAAGTTAATGTTAGTCTCATGCCGCCACGTAAAGTATTTGTATAAAAAATTTATGATTTTTCTTGATCTGCAGAATGTTCAGTTTCAAGAAGAAATAAATATATAAGATCAACTTTTCAATACAAATATTCCACTAAGCTATGCTTAAATCAAAAGAAATTGAAGTTCGATGTATGTATGCATTACGAATTTTACGCACGAATTGACGTATTTCATCATAAAAGACTAAAAGAATTACCGGAAATATTGATTTCTACCTTGTACGATGTTGATATCAAATAATCTTACATTCAAATTTTCGCTAATACTTTGCGCTTATCTATACAATATGTCACAAAATAGATAATTGATGAATCTCCAGTTGTAATAACTGACCCCATGAGACTCTGACAATCGATATTTATTTGTTATATAATATAAAATTACATTATTATTATTTATATAATATTAAATTACAATATTATAATAATTACTAATTACAAGATATCTTTTACTTATGAAGTTTAATACTATTTAAAATAAAATAATGTTAATGCAAAATAAACGTGAGGATTATACGTATGTACTTATGTAGCGACGGTAGTAAGATTACGACATGGTCATATAAACAACACATACATACATGTATATGGAACATAACCTAATCACTGTTAAATCAACACAAACAACTGTCATGTATACTGTGTAGAAAGTTTCTTAATGATTCTTACATTTCACTGAGATAAAACTTATCGAATAATTCATAATTATGACAGAAGCATCGTTTACTAAACCAGCGAATGATTCGCAGTTCCTTCGAAATGAACCTGTGAATTACACTACCGGTATTTCAATCTTCCATAAAAAATTCTAATATTTGAAATTTTTATTTCCAAATGTTATATGAATAGGAAGAATATTTTACAGAAATTCGACAGATGATGCATGGTTTTGGAGACAGTAGTGAACCATTAATTGAATCTGCGAAAATCATAGAAGAAGTTGTTTTACAACAAATGAGGACAATAGTAAGAAAAGCTTGCGAAATTTCTGAGAAACGGGGAAATTCGAAAAAGGGTATTTGTATTTCTGCGGAAGATCTGATTTTCTTATTACGCAAAAACAAAGTGAAATTGCAACGCCTTCTAAAATATTTAGGCAAGTTTGATGTGATCATAAACCAAAAAATTCGTTTAATATATATAATATAATATAAAAATTTGTATAATACATATTCTCATTTAGCAATATCTTGTAGAATTAAAAGAATTTAAGTCTTCCATACACAAAACAATAGAAAGCGATTCACCCGAAGATATTGTACAGAATGAAAGTCCAAATGGATCAAAAAAGAAAGGATCACTGCATAGTTTTCTTAGTCAAATTAACAATACTGGTGAACTTCTTGAAGATGCATCTACTGTAGATGAAGTTAAACAACAAAGATGTATTCGTGCAGAGATTATAACACGGTCTATGGATGAAGCTAGATATTTAAAATTCAGTAAGGCACGTAATGCATCCTTTGCAAATAAGAATAGGCACAAATTTAGTGATTGGATAGCAGCAGACAGTGAGTTTTGTGTATTTAACTATCTTACATTTGAGAATAATTTTCATTTATCTGTTAAGTATATTTTTGTATTATGCTATTTAGATGATATAACAGTCACAAAACAAGCATATATAATTTTGGGTTATTTAGCATATGAAACAGTAGCACAAATTATAGATTTTGCACTATTAGTAAGACAGGACCAAAATAAAATATATGGGGATGCTATAGATCGACTTAGACTTAGTTATGTTAATCCATACACTTATAAACCATATTACCATGGCAAGGTTTGTGATATTTTTATCATTTAAAACATGCAAAGTCTATGATAAAAGGAAATATTATACTTTTATGCTCTTTTTTAAAATAATTAAGCAGGTAGCTGTAACAAAACCAATAACACCTGCAGAAATAATTGAAGCTCTCAGACGGTATTGGTCACCTCAATTGGATATGACAGGTCCATTTAATCGTTGGTCCATGAGAAAACCACACTTAAAACTTCTATCTTCATAAAGTAGATTAACTTAATTCATTTAATTAGAGGAGCAAAGTTTATGCTCTTCTAAAATGGAGCCTTCTATAAAAAAAATTATCAGTATTTTAAATTTATATTTGATTAAATGTGTATTTTAATCTTTGTATATTAAACTAGAATACAGGAGTGTTTTAAAATTGCCCAATATTTATTGACAAATTCCCGTACCTCTTACAGGTGTATCTTAGATTTTTAATATTAGGTGTACACATGATATCGCTACATAAATTATTAGAATTTTATTCTTTTTTTTACAAAGTCGTTCGATCATGTGTCCTATTAATTAACGCGACATTCATAGGTACCTTATGTATCCTTTCTTTACACTTATATTAGTTCCTGTACATTTTACAATTGGTAGTCCCTGATTCCATTTTAAAGATAGGATTATAATACACTTGATTTTGCATTAACGCATGATACGTTTGCTTTCATTGTACTCTTCATAAAATATTTGGATCTTTTCTTTAATTTTACCTTACTTTGAATATTTTTTTTTAAATGATTTCATTATGCAACATAATGATTAAAAAGTTTCGTCTTGACGTTCAGTATTCTAGATATATATTTAGTATCTACAAATTTGAGCTAGTTTTAGAAATTTTACACATTATTTCATGAATTCACACAGATACTAATTTTGCTTCTGTATCATGGTGAGAGCAACGTCGACACGCGTACTTTCCCTTCCGCACCACCAGTTATACACGTTCCGGATTGATTGGCGGTAGACCAGTCGCAGCAAAGTGTACCTTTATGTCCGCCTAATTCTAAAATCTTTGCTTGTGCACCTGGTGGCATCTGAAAATTTATATTCAGTAGTTGAAGAACAGAGCTATCAAATCCTTAAAATATCAGTAGACAATAAAAATTACGTACTTTATATATATTTCCTCCAGTTTGTGTACAAAGTAGCATATAGTTACCGCTTTGGTCAAAAGTGAACAATTTTCCATGGACTGTGTTTTTCTCTACCTTGATTTTCGTTTCCCATAAAATCTTTCCTGAATGATTCAAACTTCTTTGACACAATTTTCCATCCTCACTTTGTGTACAGATATTTGTATAATCATTAATTAGTTCTATATCAATAACTGGACTCGAATGACAGCTTATATTATCAATAATTTCGTTCCGTCTTAAATCATGTATTAAAATATTTCCATTGGATAACCCTGTGATAAGGAGCTGCCCGTTATGATTAAATGCGGAACACAACGCAGTTACATTTTGTTCCATAGGTAAAGTTCTTTCTAATTTTCTTGTTTTTATGTCGTACAATAATAATTTTCCTTCGTTCGAATCTGATACAGAACATACAAATGTGGATTCCGTTGGATTGCATAACAAAGTAATGATTCGAGAGTTCTCATGTTGAATGTCCCATAAGGTTTTGCAATCACGAGTATCATGTAATTGAATCAATCCATTGTTATCACCATGTAAAAAATAACGCTCATTTTTTGATATCCAGTCTAACGCAGTAATTGCTTTGTTTGAGTTTGCTGGAGCAGAGATAAATGTAGTAACAGTTCTATAGAATTAAAAAAAAAACATGATTACATTTATGCAAAATTCTGCCATAAAACTAGTATTGTAAATATTGAAAGTAATTACTTTGGTGAAGGTATCGGGGTCCATACTTTAATAATACCGTCTGCATCACCTGTAGCTACGTAGGAGCCACTTGCATTACTTTTACATTGAATTATTGATGTTTTATGTTCTGTATACTCTTCCTGGAAATGAAACATATTATGAAAATTTCTAAAATATTTGCTATATAAATAACTAGTATTTTACCTGACTAAGAAGAATGTAAGTGGAATCGATTTTATCTTTAGCCTTTCGCTCAGCTACTGCATCAATAGACGAATCTCTTTTTCTAGAGCTTGTTAATCTTGAATCACAACTAATACTTCTTTTACTAACAGGTTCGGATTTATTGATCGAATGTATTTTTCCTTTCGTATTGGTTCTTTTTGTTGATGTCACTTCCGGTTCTACTACTTTTCTTATACTTGTCCCAGGCTTTCTACTTAAAATTGGACTGGAACCGCCGCCTATATTTCTTATGAGATTCCTTAAGGTCTTTGGATTCTCTAATAAAGGAGATTCTCTGTTTGAACAGCAAGGAAAATGTTAGTAAATGGTGTAGCATGTTGAATTACATCGGTTTATCAAACAGTAAATTAAAATATTTACTGTGCTATAATGTAAAAGTCATCCATGAGTGGTGGATGCTGAGGAGCTGGTCCTGGATTTACATCCATTACATTTTCTATCTTAACAGACTCGCTTAAACGTTGTTTCAATACTTCATTCTCTTCTTGAAGCCGTTTCAATCTATTTGTGTCCTCGTCTATCGCAAGCAACGTCGGTTGTGGCATACACTATAATTCATGCGAATTAAAATTAAACTATATACAATGTGGTTAAATATATAAATATATTACTTCATTTTGTTCATTGTATTAAGTTAAAATCAATATTTTTTTCTATGATATCAAAATGGTAAGACTCGTAAATGAGAGGCACGATGCAAAATACCTTTCACCTACTTGAAAAATAGTAGCAAGGAAATTGTGCAGGGACACTAACATAGTGTCCTGCCATTGTCTACTAAAATGTACAGAGTATGCTGGATTGTCTTCAGGATTTTTAACAAATGGCAATGCTGTAAAAATTACAAAAAAATAATAAAATGTAAAATACATTTTTTCTACTATTTCTATCAATAAAATGTTGTCCTACCAAACCATTCTTTCCACTCTGAATGTCCTTGTAACTCTGGTGTCATTTTTGTAAAAAATTCTTGAATCCGATCTTGTTTATTGTTTACTGCTGCATTAACCAAGTACATTTTTAGAACAGCATTCTCTAGTTTTCTCACAGCTGGTGTAAAATGACTTTCCAAACGGGAGAACATCCTCATGTCTAAATGTCCCCATAATTCTCTTAAAGATGCTAAGTCATAATTGTATATGTATTGCATCAATTGATCGACGATCTTATCAACCTGATAAAAAAAATAATGAAAATCTTTGCTAGAATTATATCAGTTTGCCTGAAATTAAGGAATGTAAACATTATAAGGTATTTAGAAGAGACTATAAGAGACTAAATTTAAGTTTTAATTCTTTTTATTGTAGTTTCGTTAACTAAATGAAATTTGTAGACATTGTTTTCGTATATTTTTGTTTCACTTTCTCACTTTCTCTATCATAATTCCTTACAAGCTCACCCTAAAGCCTTTTTCTTTCTCGGCTTTCAAGTCGTTATCAAAAGCTTTCAAGGTTTGGCTAAAACCTCTGAAGAGCAGATATTCCTTGACCAATTCGTCCACATACTGAATGTGAGACATTTTCCTTTAATTCTCTTCAAAATATCAACTTTCTCCTTCAACTGACAGCCGTATGTTGTCATCCTTTGGCCATTTTGCTGTTCGCTGAATATGCAGCGAATTTTCGTCTGACAGTCATTATTACCAACGTTAGCATATCATATTTATCACCGTAAAAAGAAATCAAAAGTTTCTGAAATAAAAAATGATCAAAATGAACGAAAACAATTAACAAAACATGACATTTTCTTAACTGTTGAAATATTGATAATATCCAAAATTAATAGATTTTTGGATAAAGAATAAATTTTTCTTCTAGTAGTCAATAGGTTATCAATTTAAGTATGTTAACATTCTAGGAAAAATGGACGTAAAATAATATTTATATCTACGTTATATCATGTCATAAGATTATCACAAACATTGTGATGAAATAAAGATAAAGCAGCATGCAATCATTTTTTGTCACATAATTTTTATGACTAATGGTTAAGGACAGGTAAAATGCTTGAAACCCATTAAAATAGTCGGTACGTTTCCACGTTGCACAAAGTCATGACTTTTCTCTTTAACAGGGAGATAAGAAGAATGTATTATAAGTACATTATGTACTTACGTAATGTACTATATAAGTGTTCTAACATTCGGTATCATAACTATGAAGTCACGACTTAGTGTTAATATGATTTCACATTTACAGTACGAGGTACAGAACACGGAACAGGTACAGAATAGTGTTTCTATCTATCGAATAGAATTTGTATATCTTTATTCATGCATTTCATAGGTTTAATGAAATGTAGGACAGAAGCTCAGGATTTAATTCAGAAACTGTGACCATAAAAGTTAACAAATCAATTTTCTTAATTAGCTTTCTTTTTGCAAATGTACATGGGCACCTTAGCGAGATTTACACAGCCCGGTTTGGCTCTTGCCATGATCGTAAGACAGAGAAGATGATTGAGTTCGCCAGTTTCAAACAGAGTTTACCGGCTTCCATGCCATTTCACCAATGAGAATTCAGTTGACTGATCGTCTACATCTTTGTACATAGCATAAACCTATTGAAAGACGTAAAATGTTAAAGATTCAAAATAATTGAAGACCGAAGGTTCAAATCTGACATACACGCATAGGTTTAGATTAAATTTTCTGTAATTGATAATCCGATTAATTATGCATTTGGACTTTGAGCGCAATATCAGTTCGTCAATTCAAACAAGGGTGGCAAGTCGTCCGGAATGCAACATGCAAAGCGCTGCTTGCTAAATATGAGAAAGACATAGTTTTTAAGACAGAAACTTTAAATATTAAAAAATCATAAAGCAAAAAAAAATTTAACTTATGTTCAAATGTAAATTATCATTCTTTTTTATATATCACCATTGTTAAATCATTACCTTTTGCGACCCCTTCTCTAAGTATGCTCTATTCTGCTTTAAATCTCTTCTAGATAAGAATTGTAGAAAGAAAAAATATATTTTCTGAACATGAACCCTCTTGTACAGAATATAAAGGTAAGGCAGATTTTAAAAAGTCCATATGCAGAAGGCTTATATCGGTTGAATTATAACACTATAATGTCACCAGTGGATATGTTTATAAGCGCTACAGATATGCAGCTTATAAAAAATATTCATGCTAAAACAGATCGTTTGTGGTTTACCATGGTTTACAACTAGAGGATGAATTCACACATGTTAAAGAAGCAGCCAGAAAAACGAATTTTAGTAGCAACTCGGTAAATGTTTAAATTCTATTTAAATATTTGCAATAAAACTAATATTTCATATTTTTATTATAAATAATCATGGTATAAAGTAATAATTTTTAATAAAATACATTTAATCTCACTTAATTTAATGTTCTCTATATTCTTAAGAAGTTCGTAATGAACTTTACTATTTTTACTTCCCATTAAATATACTTGTAAAACGGCATACATACGAATGAAATATTTATTATGATATTATATTATATGATATTATGATATTTGCTTAATTATGTTTTCTGCCAGACTTTGGGAAAAGGATAGAAAGAAATTCAGTTATTCATTCAGTCTAATTACAAGACATTCTTCGCATAAAGTTTCTAGAATGAACTCTAATTCATTGTAGTACTCGACTCCGGTAATACTAATGTTCTTATCTCGTAATATTGCATAACGTGTAATGTGATTCATTGGTTTCGTGTTGCATCAGTTCAGGGATGTAAATTGTGTATCTATGTGCCCCGTAAGTAATTCTAGTTACCAGCATTTAAAATTAAATACATGCATAAAATCGCGTTGATTTCTTATAACAGAATTATCAGAGTTTGAAGTTTTCTGTTCCTTGTATTAATCAATTATAAAATTTGTATCACTAATATTCTGCAATACAACGTATGATGAAAACGAATAGAAAATTAAACAATTGCTATTTAGCTATTATCATACTAGAAAAATGTGGCAGATGTTGATGCAATTTCAAGAATATCTGAAATTCCGAAATTCTAACTTTAATACAGGAAGCCAGGGTGAATTAGTAGTATGCTTCCTGATTTGCACATGGCACGCACGCGCACGACGCTAGTTGCATACGCCGCTGATATGCGTTACTATAAGAACGCTCATAGTAGGAGATGATCGATAAATTCAAACAGGTACGCCGAAAGTGTCGGAACTGAGTTTATATTCTGCTTGCAAGTAAATCGAACCAAGTAACTACTTACAAACTACAAAATGCCAGGACCAGCTTGCGATAAGGGCTCAGGTAGGAATTACTTCTATTTCTAAGAAACTATTTCCTTACGTTATATGACGATCTGATGGAATTTTGCAATTCAATGCGCAATTTCATTGATTGAATGTGCAATTCACTAAATTATTGTAAAACTTTTAGTAATCCTATTCGCTTTTATTTAAGTGCTAACATTTTCAGTATCAATGTTTCTTAATTTCCTACATATATTTTGACATGTTCATTTATAATATTTTTCACTTGTAATCATTAACAACTAGTCAAATTGTTTATTTTATAATTATAGCAACTACTTTCCAAATATTTTTTTTTTAAATTGCAATATGTATTAATGCATTTCGATATTTTCACATAGTTTCGTTTTATGCAAATGAATGTGAGAAAATTGAAATTTCTAGAACTACGCGGAATTTTTTTGGAGCTTTCATAATACGCGGCTAGTTTTATTGGTTTATACCTATAATTACCTGTATTGGAACGTAATAATTTACCTATATTTTACTTTTTATTGCAGACAAATCTCAACAATGTCATTGTGGCGAGAAATGCAAATGCGGCGATTCCTCAAGCGCAGGTAATACAATAATTTTTAGTTTAAATTAAAATTTTCAAACGATATGTTAAAAGAATTATAGTTTATTTTTTAGCCTATTAACAAAATATAAAAAATCTTCGGGGAAATGTGGTAACAATTCTCTGATCTCATTTTGCTCTGTTTTTTTGTAAACTCGGCCAACGACCGCTTAACCATGACTATTGTTAGTGCCAGTTCATTCTATAGGTCGGTTAAATTACGATCTCCAACGGGTTTTGTTACTTACACGAAATATTTGTTTGAAAATTTGTTACTCAAAATATTAAGACAATTTTTGAAGTCATGAATTACTTTCTGTTTCACGTTTTGTTATACTTAATATTTATTATAGATAAACTGGCATTAGATACTTTACACTAATCTTATTTTTGTATTTTGTTTTGCAGACACATGCGCTTGCAAACCTGGCGAACAGTGTAGTTGTAATAAAAAATAAAAAGAAAGAAGTATTAAAGGTCATTTTTTGCTTCTATTATATTTTTCAAATGTATACGTATATTTATGAAATTATGCCTCTTATAAAACTGTTACCTGTATTATGTTAAATATAATAAAGATTTAACAAAATATCTTGTCTTACCTTTACTAGAACCTTGTTAATATAATTGATTAAATTTGTCAATCATTTTCATTTAAAAATGTATGACCTTCCTCACATATGAAAGGTTCGCAGGAAACGATTAAAGTGTTAGTATTCACGGATCGACTTAAATGCGCATTACATACGATATGTATGTATGTAAATATACACATATATGTATAGTACCACACACATATATGTATAGTAACTACATCGAGGTATATAGAAACTACATCTCAACCTATGTAAATATAATTACGTATAACATGAGCTGCCTTAGTACTTATCATTTTTTGATTTACCGTTTACTTCTTATTGATAAGGGTAGGTGTGATCAAGACACTACATAAAAATTCCACAGCTTGATTCATTTTCCTTCTTTGTGTTTACCAATCATGCAGAATGTTTCACTACACTTTTTGTTATCAAAAATTAAAGATATCATATCGTTTATTTGCACTCATAACATCGATAATGATTATTATTTATAAAAACTTCAAACTTCAAAAATCGGTCTATTTCAAACATTATAATTTTACACCGCTAAACGGTTTAAACTTATTTCATCATAAATAAACTATGAAAAGAGTGGCGACAATGATAATGAAATTGGAGTTATCTGTTAATCCTGTTAGCCAATGATAATTTAGTATTGCTTACCGCGTAAAAGTAGAGAGGAAATTTCCTCTCTAGTAATGGTAAGATTTGATTAATTTTAAACATGTGCGTTATGTTAATGTAAACAATTGCAGTAATTATGTAATATTAATTATTCAGTATGTCTTGATATATATCAATAGTAATAATATAACGTAGTTTATATTAAGTGCCTATTGTGTGTTGTATAAATGTGATTATTATCTATTTTTACATTTCTTGTACTGGTCATTTTAAGATTTCCTGACAAGATAGTTACAGAGGGTAAATTTAAACGTGGATTCCTTCATATATGCATATACATTTAGTTTAAAATGGACCCATAGAGATTCATATACATATCTCTATGGAAAGACACACTATCACCACACAGCGGTGAAAAAGGTGAACTAATTGCTATTGGTGTCCTCTTCGTACAATAACGCATTCCTTGTCTAGTAGGAATATATACACTTGCCTTTATCGCACCCTAGCGCGTTCCTTATCTGTTACTGGGCATATATTTGTCCTTATCTAACATTATCGCGTACTTTGTCTATTGACAAGTCATATATTGCCTATTCTTATTATATGCTGCTCTATCTATTATTATACTTTTTAAGTTATTATTACTTCTATTTTTAATAGATAGCAGCACATGACTTGTCCGTACAACAAGGAACGACTCGTGTGCGACAAGAATAGATATATATACTGCCAAACAAAGAGGGCGAGAACAATAGTATACGATGAAGACAGCAATAGAAACAGTATGTATTATGGTAAGCGTTCCAGTGTCCGCAAATAGAGCAAAACTTTATTTCTTTCTGTACAAAAGAATAATCTGAAGAATTAATTTATGGATTTTTATGATTATGTCTTCTGAATTAGACCTCAGCTTTCTCCCTACCTTCCTTTTAACCTAATTTAATTCGATAGATTAAAGTATTAGTTGGAATCACAGATGGATAGGGAAATCCCCAATGCAATTAGTTAAGAAGTCAGCCAAAAAGTGCCCACTTAGAATAAGTGCCTTTAACAACCAATAACCGAGCTATATGCATATTTCTTCCCGGAGCTCTTGGCGGGAGAAACGTGTGTATGTACGGCGAGAGACAAAAAAAAACATGCATTTGAACCGCGGCGGCTAGAAAAGGGTAAGAGTGTAAAAGCATAAAAGTTGCTTAAAAGCTTAATTAAATACGAGAAATAAATTGTTCTTTTTAGATTGAGTACACAAATTACATTCAGGATATGACAAGGAACAGCGACAACGATCAACAGCAACCAGAAGCAACGACATTCTTGGAAATGGTTACACAATGAAAAATAAGAGTATTTATTGTAAAATAATTATATAAAATGTATATGGAAGGAGTTTCAATAAGTGATTGTAGTTTAACAGCATTTTACAATCTCATGATTTATCATGTTCTTCTAATACAAAATCACGAAGTCAGGCCAGAAATTGGTCAAAATTTTGAGAATTTCGGTTCCGAAAAATTCCTGGAAAGTGACGTAATTTCCAAGAATCGCCTAAATCGTGTCACCTTTTATGCTATCATGTTCTCCTGATACAAAATCGCAAAATAGGTCGGAAAATTTTGTGCTTTTGAAGTTTCTCAGAAAATATCGTCATATGCAGGGATTTCAAAAGATTTGGCATACCTGTTATGTTATTTTATACTCTTAATACTTACCAATACTTACCAATACCTAACCGATACTTACCTATTTTCTCGAACTCTTGTTCATTTCTTATAACTTATTCCTTAAACCTATGGAGTTTGGGAAGGTTTTAAATAATTAAGTGCTTTGCCCATTTGCAAATAAGATTGTTTTATTCAAATCAATTTGCAAGTTTACAATAGTTCTACAATATTTCAATTAGTTTACAATTTTTTGTATAGTAATTTACGTAATTCTGTAATTTTACAATGTAAAATTTAAATTTAATTTAAAGAAATTTTCTCTGTTCATTGCTTCAGCTACACCACTTCATAATTTGAATTTGGCGCGGGTTATTTCACGCAGTGTTCAGCAGAGGGAGTATGCATACGGTGTCACGAAAATGATAGTTAAGTGTCACAACATTAATAGTCATGACTTTCCTGTCACGTGTAAATATATCAACATGTACGTGAAATACAGATATATAGTAAGTACACAAGTAATAAATAATTGGTTTAATCAATGGTAATATCATTACAATTTAAAAGAAATTTAGTAAATGATATTTTCAATAAATGACAGTGTACCTAGAATAAAAGATCTGGTAAAAAAGAAGAAAAATCAGCATGTTTCCGTTGCGACAAATACTTCGATGTGGAACGCGACTGGTTCTTACGAGAGAACCTATAAATTCATGTCAGATTCCATTGATTTTGAAAGATAAACTTGATGTCAGTCTACACAAGCCAATTTTTATACGGATGAACACGAATCTTAGTGAATTATCGAAAGAAAACAAGGAAGAAGATCCTAACAAACATATCCTCGGCAAAGTTGTAGGAAAACTAAAGGTGATGTTTACATGTAAAAAATGTAACTATCGAAATGGGAAAATTATATCGAAACTAGCATACGAAAAAGGAGTAGTTATAATTCGTTGTGACGGCTGCAAGAATAATCACTTAATTGCTGATAATCTTGGGTGGTTCGAGGAATTAAAGAACAAAAGGAATATCGAAAAAATATTGGCGGCGAAAGGAGAGACCGTACGAAAAATCCAAAATGATTTTGATGGATATCTCGAGGCTGTCGCTAAAGAGGAATATGATTTGATTCTACATAATAAAAAAATAGAACAGCGTTTAATGGAAGAGGAAAAAGAAACACACGATCAAAATAAGAAGGTTAAATCTACAGAAGAATCGTAGGAAATGTTGTTCAGGAAGCAGAGTTTTTATTTTGACAAAATAGACATAAATATATCTAAATAAATGTAAATACTTCTAAATTTATTGTAGACTATGTGTATTTTTAATGCTATGTTATAATTATGAAGAAACAATAATATCCAAAGTTTGGTTGACATAGAAAGACTTAAATGTTTTTTCATCCTTCGTGTTACAATTGCTAAAAAAGAACAGCATTGTTTCTACTGTGCGTTTGTATACTACATGTAAATAATATTCCTAATATATACAATTTGGTAAAAAATATATATTCTTGAACAAAGTTCCTCAGATCAGATGATGCAAATTCTGTAAGATTTGCCTCTTCATTCAGAGTATTAAATGTACATGCATTTTTTTTTATGAAAACAAATTTAGATATTATATATTTAATATCAATAACATTTAATTTCATTTAAAGAAATAACAGATCTTGGCACATGTAGAAATTATATGGCAAATTTCTAATTGTGTTATGCATTGAATACTTCTCTGTGTATATCAATTAATATGTACATATACATATTATATTTTGTTATAAAAATGTCTTTTCTTACTAACAGTGAAATATATAGATGATAATTAAATCTTTTATAAATGTGTATATATGTATAATACAAATATATATATGTAAAATATGTACGTATATAGTATTAAAAACAAAAGGAATGATTTATTGCTTTTTCCTTATCATGCATATGTAAATCCTATATTTTTAAAAGTTTCTATCGTAAACTTTAAACATCTCTGAAGGCACTACTTCTGTCCAACTTGCAATAGTATTATAATAATGGACTATGAATAATTAATTATGATGATAATATTATTGATATTAATAACGTTAAAAATCTCTAAGTACACCAGATATTGGAATGACATGCAAAGTTAATTTCCAAATTCTGCTTGAGTTTGTTATCAGACTATGTTTTGTGATATAAGGCACTGTATCTTTTCATTGCAATCAGTCATTTTGATACTTTTGAAATACTAGTGACAATTTTTTTCAGATTTATAATATTGATAAACTAGCATTTAATGTTTGTTGAATAATATATTTTAAATATTATTAAAATGTGTAAAATCATCTTGCCTCTAAAAATAATTATTCTTACATAATTGACAGTGATTATGTAGACTAGTACTTCTTAAACTAATCTTTGCACAAAAATATGTCATTTCACTTCTGCACTTTTATAATATTATAAAATATTGACATGTTTATTTTTGTCATTATTTAGCACAATAAAAATCAGCTTACTCTAGTCATACTGTAGACTAGTATTTTGTTATCATTTTCGGGAACTAAGAATCTCTGGAGCAGAAATAATTAATATATTTGTGTAGTCGCTATTAACTGAAATTATTTTTGATTTTTTATACCCTTTTTGGTTTTGACACAATTGCATATTCACTATTATTAAAGACTTTATGCTTTGGACCCATATTACTGCTTGTAGATGCAGTATCAGACTGATTTGTTTTCTTTCTAATAACACCATATCCAAGATGACTATCATCTGCTAATCTAACAGCAGACATATCTTCAACAATATCATAATTGGACCATGCAGTGCTGGTATCAGCAACGGAAGTATTTAAAGATACATTTGAATGTGAATTTTGAGACATGCTATTAAAGTTTCCAAATTTGAATGTGCCCTTTTGAGTAATTTTAGTTGCAGAACCAAAATGCTCCAACTTGTCGTAATCAGATTCATCATTGGGTACATGATTAGTCGAAGTCACTGGACTATCTGTAATACTAGACTTACTCTTTGAAGAGCTTTGGGACGATATAACAGGCATCATCGTTTCATATTGGAAATCATCCTCATTTTCTTTGTCTTTATCACTATGCAACAACGAGTTTAATCTCTCTGTGTGATGTATATTGTCAATACCATGAGTTTTCCATGCATCATTTCTTACTTCTACTAGGTCATAAGGATGTCTTTCTTCGTCATCTAATATGGAACTTCCTATCGTTTTTTGAGACATCTCTGGCGAATTATCGCGATTTAATGCTTTGTATTCTCCACAGGCAGGCAACTCTGATACTTCGGGATCTACGCTTTTTTTGTCTAACAAACTGGTGAAAACGTATTTTCGCGGTGGTTTCGCGGGTTTCGGTTTACCGATACATAAAGACGGTTTAGAAGATGAACTAGTATCTAAATTAGATGATGAAGTTGACTGTTTCTGTGAATTTTGCGGTGAAAAGTCAATATCAATTAAGTTAGCAGAACTATTTGGAGAAGGGGGTAAGGCCGCTCTAGATCCAGCTTCCATCGATAAAGCTGCATGATATTGAGCATCATTACAGTCAATGTTTGCATTATTTTCTTCATGCATTAACTTTTTCATTGACCTCATCTTGGAATACATACAACGAAAAATTTCTTGTTGACTGCTGTGTTCCAAGCGAAAAGAACCTTCCCCAGATTCACATTTTCGTCCTGCTTCAAAAATAAATTTTCCATCTTTGTAACCATATCTTCTGATATATCGATATGGCCAAGTAAATAGAACTACATCCCCATCCATTAATTTAATATCAACTGCAGCTACTACAAGTGTATAGTTCCTAGTTTCTAAACCACATCGCTTAGATGCATCTGTCTCTACTACTTTCACAGAAAATACTCCTTCTCCACTGGTACAGTACAGGTCGTTGTTCTCCTCTATTGTTTGATTAGACACACTATCTTTAAATGCTACTAACTGGAATGCAGTGATCCAATGACTCATATCAGATTCCGAATAGCATCCAAAATAATGAATTCCTGATTTAGTCACAACCTACATACGACAAAAATAAGGAACTGAATCATTTCATTTCACTGTTTGCTAAATATTAAATCTTATGTTAAATGTTTACTTACAATAAATACATGTGACTGATTGCTAGGTGCTATTTTAATGCATGCATCTAACGTGATGATGCGAGGAGCATGTAACTGCAATATAGCTTCTTCTTGATTATCATAAATTTCTACACGTTTGATCCCATAGTTACTAGTCCTAAACAGCTGACAGAATCTTTTGTGCCAAGATTTCTATAAAAGATATAAACAACGTAATTGCCTGTCAATATAAATATTTTAATGTTAAGAAGACTGAAAAGAAACAGATTTTGTGTATTTGAAAAATCATAACTATTGGTATGAATCAAGAATGACGTGTGCCAAGATCGATTCAGCGTTGTTGCACACGCTTGAAATGTCTGGAACTTATCGCGCGAGTTTTAGGTTAATTCATTGATCACTAATCGGTGGCCATCGATATGGACAAATATTTCTTTGAAAGATACAGATAAATAAATAAATAAATGGGAAAAACCAATTTGTCAATGGATCGTGAGAATTTGAAACAAACATTTATTCATAGTAACGTTAACCAACCTTGAGCTGGCCTAACATTCCCTGCGGTGGTAACAGCAGGATCCCTTGTAACAGAGGTTCCTCGGGCTCCATCGTTTTTTGCGAAACATCAGCAGCCTCACGTATTACTAGGAACGTGCCTTTGCTTCTCGTATAATTTTGAAAAAGTGAATTTTTCCACTTTCACTCCCACTTTTTCCCGTCCGCGCTATTCCTCTCACTGGTTCGCCTCTGCTTTCGAATGGTACTCTATCGTTTACGTTTAGTTTGACAGTTTTCCCGAACACATTCAACCCATTATAATGTACGGCGCTTGACATTTCACAAAAGCTTTAAGCCCGACGTCTTTAACGTCGACTAGATTTGCCGAGGAGAAAAATATTCGTTCGTCTCTATGTGTACGTGTTGCACGGATACATCGTGTATGGTATATAACGACACGGATTGTACTGCTCTTGCATGATTCCCCGACACATTCGGAGCCAACTGTCGGGTAATAGAGGCATGCACGTCCTCCGACCGTACGACGTCGCCCGAATTGTCACGAACGGACATAGAAGCGCGGACTATTCCCGAGAGATAACTCTCGCGCCTCTTCTTTGCCTTCTCTCTTTATGCTTTCTTTCTTTTAACTCGTCAACTTCTAAACTTTGTTTGTAAAAAATTTTTATCACGCATCGTGTGTTATGTCTGAGTTATTTCGTTTGATCTGACGTCGAGAATTCCAGAGTGTAATCAATGCGAAACGAAATGGGAGGTGATTTAAATCGAGGATTGTTTGCTTTCTTTCCAGACGCAAGACTTGGTCATAGATAAGCGTTGTGAGTTGCGACACATCGACTTCCGTTCCTAAACAACGATAATAATTACATTTTTCTCTACTTTTCATTATCAATCGTTTAATCTTTAATATGATATGTATTGTAATCATTAATTTTATCTGCAATAAAAGTATTTAAAGTAAGAATCTATAATTATTTTCCTTGGTATGTAACACATAATAGCGTGTAGTCATCGAGTCGAAAGTGGAACAAAGTACGACACCGAACAAAAGGAATTTGAAACGCTCCTACGATGAAGTATAAAATCACCAAGCTATGGATGATTTTTTCTTATTAGCGACGTCGACGCGTAGGCTTGGAATAATGCAACCGACGCAACTAGGCTTTATCTCTGGTTTCGTTATACGGAAGTGGTACACCAACCGATATGAAACAATACAATTGTCTCTTGGCTGTGACAAACGCGCGCGCAAACGAAATATGTAATAACATTACTCGGTGTCGATACTTTGCATGCAGACCGATCCAAAGTGCTATTCGATGTTTCTTCAGTTTGTTTCATATCTCTATTTTCTTCAATTTTTAGTCATTCTTGGAACTGTAATATAGCACGCATAGGTACACAATGTTAGAAACATTCCAAAGATAAAAATATAAAAAGTATATTCATGTGTGAGACTATTATCTCAAACAATATGATAAATAAATTATAACGCGAACAAAATTCTTTACGTGCCTGTAGCGGATACTTTCATTTTTATAGTATGGATATAATCTCCTCACTTTATCGACTTTCAAGGATTATACATATCTGATTTTTCGTCTACCTCTTTCATTTTGATAAATTTTTCTGAGAACATTATAATATTGAAAAGCTTAGGGTGAGTTTCGCGATGAGTTCGATAGCGCACGCAACTAGGCTAAACAATGTCTCGTTTCAATTTCACGGGGGTTCGATCGTTCGGTAGTTAGTTATTAAAGAACTGACCTTTCTTGTGATTCGCGGTGCATCGAGTTGCATTAGGCTTGCTCGGTATACGGCTCGTGATCGCGATCAGCTCAGCCTGTAATAACGAATCGGCCAAACTAATGAAGTGATACATTATTCACAGGTGTCCTCGGTTATATACCGTACGAACAATACGACGCGCTGTTATTTTAGTTCGTCAATAGAAATGATATCGGTTCTCTTGCTCCTCTGGTGTGTCAATTATGGGGACAGTTACAACAATTTTCCATCTCTAATTACCACCAACGCTACTATGGGTACGAGTGATTTTCCTCTTAAAACAAAACGTAAAAGAAATTTTTCTTCCAAGTGATATTATCCTTTGATGGTGTTATTATCCTTAGAAAGAAATAAAATCGAGTTAAGTTCAGTGAAAAAGAATTTTTTTAAACAGCCGTCATCATCGATAAAAGCTTCTTTGATAACAATGGCGAGCACCGAAATGTTATGGGGGTGGTGCACGATTTAATCATAAATACTGTGAAAAAGGAGATGCACATAGGTGGCATAGTTGTGCGTATTTTTCGTGATGCGGATGTCAATCTATGGCAAGGTAAACTCTACATCTTGAAACATGGTTAATTATCATTCGGATGACTCACTAACCCTCGTTATTTCTTAATCATTAACAAGGCTATACAATTCTTTTATCTGTCGCGAGTTGCTGTATAACGTGGCGCCTGCACGAGGTCGCACGAAAGGAAGAATTGATACATCTCGCTATAACAGGTACAGAGGTATCGTTTTTTAAATATTCTAAATTAAGAAAATCTAAATAAATGAAAAGAACCTAAAAATTTAGTATCGTTCTCTAGAGATTCTGAATTAAGGAAATCTAAGAGAAAAGTTTATCATTTCAAGATCCAGATTGTCCCCGAATTCCAGAGACGGATGGCATGAGCATGCCGGTGGTGGTACCAGGAGAAGAGCTGTCACAGATTTTTCTCGACTTAAGGATGATGAACATTCTACCCTGGAACGTGATCAACATTCTCCACGACGATACATTCGGTGATAAGGGCAACTAGTAGCTGCGATAATGGCACGTGAGTCCTTTTATCTAATCCGATCTGTGTTCATGGCTCGTTTCAGGCAGAGACACGATCAGCAGAGTAATGACAGCCATCTCGGACAAGTTACCGAACAAGCAAGTGAACTTGATCTCTAGATCGATTTTCACGTTGAAACACGAAACGACGAGAAGTGAAAGGAAAAGTTCGGTGAAGAAGACGTTGAACGATTTCCACGTGGAACAACTGGGACATTGTTTCTTAGTTATTGCTACTGTCGACATGATTGCTGATGTGATGGGCGTGGTGAGATCTCTGTTCTTATAAAAATCTCAAACACCATGATAAGCGACATTTTTCGTTTCTTGTTAGAAGACCAATACGTTGTCAATTCCATATCAAACATTTGAAAATTTCCGGAGGGATTTCTTAGGTTGAGATTTTTCTTTCAAGGCGAGATCCTTGAAGATGGTTCATCCAGGTAGTCAATGGTTGTACGTGATCACCGACAGCGCGACGAAGAATATGACCAATATGACGGCATTCGTTGATTTATTGGCAGAAGGAGGAAACGTAGCCTTCATGTACAACGCGACCAATTTGAGCAACTACTGTGAAGTAACGATCTATATTTTCAGATAATTAACTGCTGGGATTGCTTCATTTGTTGCAAAACGAACTTATTACACAATATTAAAAAAAAGAAAAAAAAAAAACAAAGTAATTCCCAGAGAAATATTATAAGCAATCCCTCTATAAAATTTCTTTAACATAGGACAAATAATTGTTGAAAGATTCTTGCTTCAGATCAAGCTGATATGTTACGTGGAAAAATTGATTCAAGCACTGGCGAAAGCTCTTGAGTACTCCTTGACGAACGAGATTGATCTGTTTAAGAGCATGGAAGAGGAGAAGTTCGAGATGATCAGGCTAACGAAACGCGAGAGGCGAGCAGAACTCCTGAAGAACATTAGAGTCAGTAAATTGTACAAGAATTTGTACAAGCGAAACGTCCTTTAACCGAACTAAAATCGAAACTATGTTCCCGTCAGATACACCTTTCCCAAAACGCGTTTGCTTCAGAAGGTTTCTGCGGACGGTGCTTATTATGGAGATTCTCCTCGTCCATAACTTGGGGAAATTTTTTTTCTCGTGGTAGAAACATGGCACACCTGTTGGATATAGGCACATGGTCACCTGGTTTCGGAGTAAATCTAACGGACGTGATTTTTCCTCATATCGCGCATGGATTCAGGGGCACTAATTTACCAATTGCGACTTACCATGTGGGTAAACAATCTTTTAACTTATTTATTTGAATCTTTCTAATGGAAGTACTTTTGGAATTATTGGCTAAAAAAGAAAAATTAGGAAGACAAACAAGTAAAGTATTTCTTGTGTTATTGTTTAGAGAGGAAAGTTAATTTATCAAGCCTTTACTCGAATCTTTTTCATTTCAACTTCGACACAACCACGTAATCGAGTTGAAAATTTACATATTATTTTAGAATCCACCATGGCAGATAATTTCTGTGAGTAAAACAGGTCAAAAGCTATATGAAGGATTGGTATTCGATGCGATCAATTACTTAGGCTCGAAATTGAATTTCTCTTATACGGCGATTACGCCGGAAGTGACTCGAAATTCAAACTCTTGGAATACTTCTCGGTACGCCAAGCTTGGCGAGGTAAGGATTTATACACACACTCTGTTCTTTGTCCCTCGTCTTCTTCGTCGGCTAAACGCTTCTGTTCTTAGAAAATTAAAGAAATGACCATGTCGGCTACCAGAAAAGTGCCAAAAGAAGTGATCGATTTGGTGCGAGACAGGGAGGTTCTTTTAGGTGCTTGCGCGATCACTGTAAACGAAAATAAGAAGGACGCGATTAATTTTACTGTACCTATTTTCGTGCAGACCTATAGTTTTTTAACTTCCAGGCCTAAACAATTGTCTAGAGCTCTCTTGTTCGCCTCACCGTTCACCAAAGAGGTTTGTATAGATACAACATTTCTTTTTATAACAACAATGCTACCGGATCATTGAATAATATAGGTAACTCTTGTATAACGAGAAAGTTAGGTCTCAAAACATCGTATAAAAAGTATTTTCAAGTTATTACTCGAGGGTTGGTCGTTGCTCAAAACTCAGCCCAACAAATCTTCCTTCGAAATAATTTGAAAATAAAACCGAAGAAGCGAGGCAAATATAGCGTACATATAATATTATCGAACATTAGTCGCTTAATAGTTTCTCACAAGGTTTCCTGTGCTTCTCACAGTGACAGAAACGAATCGACGTAGTTACAAAAAGATCGCAGAGAGATATTTCGTGCCTGTGCTAAAAGCGTTCGCTAATGTTTCGGCATTCCGCTACGTAATAGCGCATAATGACAGAACTATAAAGATTGTCGTCGTTCGGTTCGGTATGCTCCGTGCTGGCATTCCCCTAACGTTCCGGCTGCCTTTTAGACGTGGGCCTGTCTGGCGGTATCCATTATCGTAATGGGTCCGATCTTGTACCTGGTTCACAAGTACAGCCCGTACAGCATCAAGACCTCGGGCCTAAAGTCCTCGTTTCAATGTGTGTGGTACGTGTACGGGGCGCTTCTTCAACAAGGTACGACTTTATTGTCCCGTAAACCGCCTCTATTTCTCGCACGTTCACGCGATGCAAGCTTCTGGCGATTTTATTACCGATCAACAGGTCAAATGTTCTGTATTTATCGGATACAAATTTTATTTGTTGGCATCTAACTTTTCTGTGGTGGGTCACAAAATTTGAAACCAATTTGAAAGCATATAAAAATTACAATATACTTGCCGGAAACATATATTTAGTACAAAATTGCAGAAATCAGCACAATTTCTCATACCGCATAATCTTACAACTTCAGGAATGTGTTAACGAGGGTTAATAAGCAATGGTAATAATACTCATTTCCAGAATATCGGCTCGTAAATTTCATGCGTTTAAATTCTTTCCATTTCCATACAGTAACCAAACACCTTCCTCTACCCTCTCTTTATTTGCTAATTGAAATTCAACGATCAAAAAGTACCTACTATAAAAAAAAAGAAAGAAATCTCACGCCATCGAAATAAAATTCAAAAAATTCCAGGAGGAATGTATCTGCCGCATTGTGACAGCGCTCGCATACTGATCGGCGTCTGGTGGTTGATCGTTATGGTCGTGGTAGCTACTTACTCCGGAAGTCTGGTCGCCTTTCTCACTTTTCCACGAATGGACGCCTCTATCCTAACCGTAGACGATCTGCTCGCGCGTAAGGACGGGATCACCTGGAGTTTTCCAAACGGTAGCTTTCTCGAAATGTACCTGCAGGAGACCGACGAGCCTAAATATCATACTTTATTGTCGCGCGCTGAAAGTCACAACGACACGGAGGAAGAGAAACTGGTGGAACGTGTGAAGGATGGGAAACACGCTCTGATCGACTGGAGAAGTTCCCTCAGGTATCGTTCGTGTCAAATCCATACGAAATTTCGTGAAAATTAACGAGATCGTGAAATAGGTTCTTGATGAGGAAGGATCTGCTGTTGACCGGAGTCTGCCATTTCTCGTTGAGTATGGACGAGTTTCTCGATGAACCTATCGCCATGATCATTCCACACGACAGTCCTTATTTGCCTGTCATTAACGCGGAGTAAGTTGCGTGTTGACTTCTGAACGATAAAAGTCGGTAATTAGTTGGGGTAATGGTTTGGAATGGGGAAATAAGATATAACGGGATACGTTAGAACGAAAGAAACTAGAGAATAAAGTCTGGATAGTATTGATATTAATTAAGTTTTGGCACGATTGCAATATATTTTTATAAGTTTCTTTATAAGCTGTATCATTCCTATTAGGAAAAGTTTGTTCTAGCTTGTCCCATTGTACTCGTAGTTTCGTTTATTCCACGAATTAAGATTGTTTGAATGAAATGGAGTCTTCGTAACGTAGATTGCATCGAATGCTGGAGTCTGGGATGATGAATAAATGGATTACGGAAAGGATGCCAATAAAAGACAAGTGCTGGGAAGTGCCAGGAAGCAATCAGGCGGTGAACAAACGGAAAGTGAACGTCACCGATATGCAAGGAATATTTTTCGTATTGTTCATGGGTATTGTCTTTCAAATCCATCGTCGCAGATTTCATCAGCATCTTAATTAAAAGATTTCTTCGTTATTTTAGGCATCATACTGGCTTTCTTCTTTCTCTTTTGCGAGTGTTACTGTCATAGACGTAAGATATCTAAGGAACGAAAATTAATTCATCCCTTCGTCTCTTAAATCTCGAAACATTAATATTAAGATGCAACGAAAATAAAATAGGAACAAAATCATTTTCTGCTATTTGTCACTCCTTTGTCCTTTATCTACCAGTGTCCCAATATAGGCGATATGCGATTTCTCCGCGGAAAAACGAATCAAACCGACGTAATGCGCCGAAACGCACGTGTAATCACTTTTTTTCTAATTTTTTGTTCCATAATTACTGGCTAAACAAAAAAAAGCGTGCTTGGTACTAGTCGACGTAACCGGAAGACCTAAAAATCCTTGCTCAATCCAAGCTCACGATTTTTTCGAATTTCTTTTCCTTCGTTACATCGATTCAGAAGAATCACGAACGTTGAGCAGAGCCATAAAATTGAGAAACCAGTAGTTGTTAGTCCATTTCTACCGACAATTCGCATGGCCAAGCGGGCGCGAAATGATTCTCGCCAATGAAATAGCGACCAATGGCCCGCGGACGTTCGCAAGCCATTACAATTACCATCACGAACGTCTAATTTGCGGGTAATGGACGGCGCCGGATATTGCGTGGATATCCACGCAACGTTCGAAGTCGAAAACGTTCGATTCGTTCCATCACTGGCGCTCGGAACATGCTTTTTTATCGTTAGTTGCACGAGAATCGTGGCAACGTTTCGTGGATACTATCTATGGAGTCAATCTGAAGAAAATGTACGCGGTAACGGCAATTATTCTGTACCGTGCAAGCAATAAAAATTCATTTAGAACAGTAACGCAAAGATTATTTATTTATTCACTGGTAAAATGCTGGTAAAATCTACCTGATATTACGCAACATGAAGATATTAGACTTTATTGCAAAACCGAGATTTACTATCTGCAGTTAAGAAGATTGACACGGATGCTCTTTGCACAGGTATTTCGAGGATTCGTTCATTGTTTCGTTAAGTCGTTAATTTTACTTGGAAGACTTCGCGCCTAACAAGGTTTATTGCATTGTGAACAGTAACGACCGCAACATTGAGCAAGACTTATGACGCGTATGATTCAGTTGCTCCCTGTTACGTTACGCTGGAAGTTGCCACAACTAGTTACTTTATTAAGATCACACTCGAAGAAGAATGGAAGTTACAAGTGTGCGAACGCGAGAGCGAAGAAAGGTCGGCTCCTACTTGTTTATCTTCGAATAATTTGCTTGTTTTCGAATTCATAGAAATCTATGTAATTACTCTTTTACCCCTTAACTGTTACTATGGGATCATGGAATACTTCATACATAAATATTGTAATTTCGTTCTAGAATAGTCGTCGCATCAACGCGAGCTGAATTAATGGATGTTATAAATTGTCACTTAAATTTCCAAACCCTTTAGATTCCACCATTCGCGCAGTCATCACAAAATGTTTAAAAAAATCCTAATAAAATAACTAGATTTTTGAAGTAACGAATTTTCCAATTAAAAATATGACTCTTCTTTTATTAATTAATTTTCTTGAATTCTTCAAAACTAAATTCCATCACTTATTCAGTCGCCATTAAATTTCCACAAGCAGCGAATCCCCGGGATCCGAAGAACCCATAACAAGATTTGGAGGAACGAATCCGCCACGATTCTCTGAATAATTCTGAATAATTCTCCTCCTCCTGTTCCTCATTCTCCTCCTACTACCAACTTGGCATCCTCTGGGGAAGCTGGAACCCCGGCACACGGTTTCGCGAAGGGGAAAGGAGAAAGACGAGCGCGCGATATGACGGCGTACATAGACACGGGTTTATCTACCTGACGACCTTGCCGTTTAAAAAATCGCAGAGTGGCCGGCAGAGGCTCGAG